AAAAATACCCAGCTTGGCCTGCAGAGGGAGTCGCACCATCTGTGATCTGATTTAAAGGCTAATAGGAGTTATTGTTTGTTGTACATCATGGAGCTGATCGTTACTGTTGCCTTAGTTTATTTCATAAAGAAAACTAAAAGGAGAGAAAAGCTGTTACAGTACAGTCGCTCATGTCCACCCCTACTGACCCCACAGTAACCATGAAAGCTGCTTCATGTATCCACCACACAGAAAAGTTCCTGTTTGATCATCCAAAGCTAGTGAAGCATGTTTTTCATTCCCATTGAATCAACATGATTCAGTCAAGTCCAGCAGACGCTGCACTGAAAGCTCGTTTGCAATGACGATGAATGAAGATAAGCTGGAGATGTAGCAGTGCTCCACATCCTGTCAGCACTGATCTGACCCAAAGAAGTGGCTCTTGGCTCTGGATCTAGAGGCTCTCTTTGACCCTCCCTGTTGCTCTTTATCTTTGAACGAAGTGCTGTGGATGATCTGGGATGTCCTGTCACGAAGCTTCTGCAGTTTGGGCTTCATCCTGCTCAGTGAGGACTTCCTCCACAGGGGTATTTCCCTGGGTTGGCCCTCACTGTCCCCAGAAGCACAATCGTTGGAGTTAAGCTGGCTGAGGGGCTTCATGTTGGAGATCCTCCAGCGTCGTCCGTCCCTGGGATGAGCGTTCTCACCTGCAGAGCACTCACAGCCTCCAGCGATGCTCCGTATCTCCACGCTCACGTTGTCGGTGAGGTACTGGCAGGCCTTCCTCCCACTATAGTCTCTGATCTCCACATCTGCATTGTAGGTTCTAACCAGAAGCTTGACCACCTCCACGTGCCCGTGCATGGCGGCGATGTGCAGAGGCGTGTAGCCGGTGCTGGATCGAAGATCAATACTAACAGAAATGTCGTGCAGCTTGGCAAAGTTAATAATCATGGCTATGAGCTCAGGCCTGCCGTGCTTGGCGGCCCAGTGCAGGCAGGTGAAGCCCGTCACAAAGTCCTTCTTCAGGAGGAGGCTGGGCTCTGCGGTGAGGAGGTGATGCAAGCTGCTCCACTGCCCGTCTGACGCACACATCATCCACTCGTGCTCCATAGGCTCCAGGGCTACAGCTGTCCTGTCTTCGTCCAGGGTGGAGGAAACCATAGAGGTGGAGTCAGCTTCCGCCCTGGGGGACAGGTAAAAAGAGCGCCGAATGCCTGGGGAGCTGTTCATCATGACCTCTATGAAATGCTTGCGACTCCCTCTCGGGGTGCTGTTATCGTCACTTCCAGACAAACTGTGCGTATCGACGCGCTCCTCCTCCTCCTGTGACTCCGGGCCAAAGGGACACCTGTGCTGGGACTCTCTGCGCATGGTCGCACTAAGCCCCTCTGCTGCGCTCAGGCTTCCCTGTGACTCAGCCTGCTCAGCAGCAGTAAGTACCTGCCCCGTCCTGCCAGTGTGTGCAGGCCCGGGTGCGCTAAAGAAAGATCTCTCTGGAGCGAGCGGCGACGCGTCCGTCACTGTAATCTCGGGCACGTCGGGCTCTTTTCCAACCGGCTCCTTTCTGGACTCCCTGTTGTCTCGTCTGAAGCTCTCCCAGTTTCCCATCGCCGTCCCGCTGCTGTCCTACAAACACACCGAGGACACTTCGTCCTGTCAACTTCTTTCAGTGTTGAAATTATGCGGAACTCTGACTTGGCTGTTATTTCCGTAACCTGAACCAGGTGTTTCTCCTCACGCCTTGTTCCGCGGCTGTAACGCATCCACGAAACTACTCACAGCTGCGATTTACTGGACTTTTTAAGTACCGAAGCACCATTTTTCTGTGAAACAGGGCAGCGCTTA